TTTTTAACGCATGCGTTGTTTTAATAGGTTTAAATTCTAAACCTTGTTTTAAATTTAAAAGCAACGCGCGTTCTTCTAATAGCAACTTAAAACTTATCAGAACTTGTTTATTAAATTTGAAAAATAATAAATTACAATGGTGAGTTTTTCTATTAATTATAATAATTGTTATATGATGAAAAAAGATTATAAAAATTCTTTTATAACAAAATCTTATATTTACCTTCATTCAAAATAAATATAATTATATTTATTTTGAATGAAGGTAAATATAAGACTTCTATACATTGTAAGGTAATTATATATTATAATAAATACATTGTAATTATATATTATATATTATAAGGTAATATATATATATAAGGTAATATGTTAAAAGGTAATATAATATATTATATATTATTAGGTAATATATATAAGGTAATATAGTATAGTATATTTTAAGGTAAATAAAAAAATATAAGATTCTATAACCTTATATAAGGTTATAGAAGTCCATGTTTACATTTACATTAAGATATATAAAAATTTATAGATTTAAAAAGTTATAGATCTATAACTTTTTAAATCTATAAGTTTTTAAATTTTAAATTTTTAAATTTTAAATTATAATGACATCGCAAATATAAGATCTATCTTATATTTGTGATGTCATTATAATTTATAATGACATCACATTTATAATAAATATATCTATAATCATATTCATAATATTGATAATAATAATAAGAAATGAATGTTTATCATTTATACATTTTTGTTGTATTTATACTGTTATATTCTATAATATTGATATAAGATAGGATGTATGAATATTAATTATAAATTTTATTCTATATTGATTATATCTGTATAGAATTAAAATCTTTCATAGATAGTATGCATACATAACTAAAACAAAATATGTTATATTGATCAAAATGTTGTCTACTTAACTCATTAATAAAAGTCAGTTCATGTGTTTAGAAATTTTAGTACAACATTAGCAATCTTTAGCATACATCAAAAGTAGATTATTAAAATTATTTATACTGCAGACCTAGAAGGTTTTTGACTTAGCACAGACGGAAAATATGCATATATAATTGCTACCTACTTTTGTTGCTTGCTAAAATTTTGATCACCAACTGTTTATGTTATAGTTGTCTAAAATAAAATCAGCTTTATTATTCTATTAAATTATTATTAAAAAGTAAGGTATAGTTAGTAATTATTGAAAAGATGATTTTAACACGTCTCTCATTTTTTATTACCTTTTCTCATTTCTATTAACTGTTATTATTATGTATAAAATTCAACACTTAATCATTATTCCTAACAACTAAGCGTTAAACAATTGAAAATTGCATATATATATATATATATATATGTATATATATATATATATATATATATATATATATATATATATATATATTTATATATAAGTATAAGTTGTTGCTTACGTTATCACTCTGATTCTTGAATAAATGTTTAAAATTATATGTTCAATAAATTAATAAAATATAATTTTTTTTTTAGTGTTTCTATAATAATTATTGAGGTATCATACGTAAGTTTTTTAAACAAAAATAGCTGTTTTAAGATTCAAGGGTTGCTCAGACAATTTTGTACTTAAAAAAAACATAAAAAACATTTTCATGCCAGCTAAGTTATTCAAAATTGGCAAGACAATATAAATGTTTGTAAACTAGTATTGATTTAACATGTTGCTAGTTGCTTATATACTTAATAGTATTGATTTAACATTTTACTTGTTACTATTTTTAAATTATAATTTTTTAAAAAACTTGTAGATAAGATAGATAAGAATGATTTTGATTCTTATCTATATGGCTTGTTAAGTGCATATTTAAAAATCTGTCTCATTAAATGAGAGAACATGTTGTATACACTTACTAATATGCATTTAATGTTGTAAACTTGTTTGCAATACCTAAAAACAAAGCCAAATTCAAGACTGGAGTGTCCAGCAAATTTTGACAGTATTTTTTTTTTCTAATTCATATAATATTTATAATAACTTTTTTTTCATAAAAAGTTTATAAAATTATTATTGTAGTATTTTAAAGCATATATATATATTTTTTTTTATTTTACTTCACCTCCTCAAGGCCGAGAAGGCCACTACAGACGAGGAGGCTACTTATTTTGTGGCTATAACCCTCTCTCAACTCTATAACTCCGAAACACGAACCTTTACGAACAAGGCCGCTGCGCGGAGAAACGAGTTGAGCGCGGTACTACCAGGGACGTGGTGGGGATCGAACTCAGAACCACTCGTTTATGAAGCGAGCGCTCTACCACTACACCACTACCGCATATTATTGAAGTATTTTAAAATATACTATTGTAGTATATTAAAACATATTCTTTTATTGTTTAATTTTTAGATGTAAGCAGTAGGATATCAACTGTCTTAGGAAAGATTTAGAAAAAAAAGATTTTGTATTTTTAAACAAAAACTTTTATTTGTGCAGTAATCATTTTTAAAGTACAATGTATTATTCTACAAATAATGGTGGAAAACGTTTGTTACAATCAGCAATTCCTACTATTTTTAACATCCCAAATCCTCCTCCACTTCTTGATTCTAAAAGGAAACCACCAGTTGACATCATTCAGTTCCAGTGAAAAAGTTTCAAAAATATTGTATGTATTGTCATTTGGTATATTAAATTATTATTTTTTCAATTTAAATCTTTGTAATGAGACTTTGTAATGTTATAATGTATAATATTAATACTTTAATTAATGTATAATGGTAATAACTTTTATGTATAATAATATACTTTTATGCTCTAAAAAAATTACACCAACTTTATGTTCTACAAAACTTTTTTTGTTCTACAAAACATTTTTTCATCTTAATGTTACAAAATTATCTTGAATACAAAATATCTTGAATACAAAATTGAGATATTTAGCAACAAAGATTATTAATTAAAAAAAACTATTTGTGTTTGTTCAGAAATAGTCTGGCAGGACATCCCAGAATGCAATTTTGATCAATTAACAGGAGTTTCGCGAAGTGGATAGGCTTTGTTTGGTGACAAGAAAATAAAAAATGCAACATGACTCCGGCCAAAGTCTGATGCAATGCATATCAAAGTAGCTGAATTGAATGCACATATTTAAGGTGTCAATATGGCATTGAAATGGAACCCAAGTGATATCAAAATTGATTTATATAGTGTATTCAATTGGTTAAATTCTGGATTGAATCATGACAAACCTGTAAAATGTGCTGGGCAATGCAAAATGCTAATTTGACAAAGGCTTCAAGCATTTGGAAAATTGGTTGAAGATTATGCCATAAATGTAAATGTTACATGGGTAACGATAACAAAAAATATTGCAGACGAACTCACAGGAGTGCCAACAAAATGGATAAAAAACAAAGTTGCAACGCATGAATGTAATATCATTTATAAGCACAATCAATAAAGAACCCCAAATTTAATTGGGGATACCATTTTTCCGGCAACGTTGAAAGAGGAAGATGATGTTGTGACCCCCTCCTCCTCTCCTAATTAAACGAGTGCTGCAACAATAATTTTTAATAATCATTTATGTTTATCATGTTTAGTAGTATCCTATTATAAAGAGTTGATTTGTGGAATGATGTGTGGTTGGAAAAGTTAGACAAAAATCTAGTGAAAATTCAATTATGGGCTGAAAAAAGAAACTCTGAATAAGCTATCTGTAAACTATGCAAAAGTGATTTAAAATTCAGTTCAGTTTGTTTCCAAGCACTGTATCAGCATTCTTCAAAACCTAAACATAAGTCAGTGTCTGATTTAAGATTTTCAAAAACTGCTTGTCATTTATATGTAGATTCTAACAAAAACTCTATTGGGGGAGAAAAAGTTATACAATTAGAGTTCTCTATAAATGAAAAAATTTCTGCTGCAGAAGCCATGTGGCTTTTTAAAGTGGCAGAGAATGATCTTGCCTTAAGACATTGTGACAACACACCAATATTGTTCCAAAGAATGTTTCCAGATAGTAAAATAAGTCAAGGTTTTACTATGAGTCGGCAAAAAGCTTCATATATTTTGCAAGATGGCCTTGGGCCATTGTTGGAAAAGCGTTTATGTAATAGTATCACGTTAAGTCAAGGTGCATTAACTTTAATGTTTGATGAAACAACTACTTCACAACAAAGAAAACAAATGGATCTTTTATGTCGTTTTAGGTCAGAAGACGAAAACCAAGTTGTTACAAAATATTTAACATTGCTGTTCTTTGGCAGAGCAACAGCAGAAGATGTCAAAACAATGCTAGCAGATTTACGTCATAATGAAAGGTTTTATTTACCATGGGATCGTCTTTTTAATATTTCAGCAGATGGTCCTAATATTAACAAAGCCATTTGGAGATTGTTAAATGCTGATCTTCATAGTAATGGTTTTAATGGCTTGTTACCATTTGTAAGTTGCACTTTGCACACAGTGCATAATGCTTTTCGAAAAGCAATTAATGTTGTCAGTGAGGATGCTGAGCAGCTTGCATTTGATTTACATACCTGGTTTAAGGTAATGATTTCAGTAATTTTATACAGTAGAATCCCATTAATTCGGACCCTGGATAAGTTGGAAACAAAAGGAGTATAAAAGACACTGACAAACAACAAGTGTTATATTCGGATTCAAAGAAGTCTTAAGGAAACTGAAAATGTAATTAAAGTTATTCTTATTATTATTTTTTTGAATTATTACATATAATAGAGAATTGATTATTTAAGGAGTTACTTGTGTCCATCAAATTCCTTATTGGTTTAGCTCCCTTGTTTGAGAAATACTTGACAAAATTTCAAGATGAAGGACCACTTGTTCATGTTTTATTTTATAAAATGAAAAATCTTTTAATATCTTTAATGAAATGTTTTCTTCAGCCGACTGCTGTTAATGGAAAGCTTACCAAAGATCTTTTAAAAATTGATTCTTCTGATTTAACTATCCACCTTGATTTGAATAAAATGGACTTTGGCTAGGAAGCTAAAAACCAGGTAATTTTTGATAGGTACACATTTGCTACATTTACCAGTTGCACATTTGCTGCCTGGTAAATGTGTACTTGGTACTATGTATAAGTAAGTGTACTAGGCAATGTAAACTATTTTGTTTATTGTATTAATCATTAGATATTATATTATTGAAAATTAAGTTTTTTTATTCATTTTCATTGATGTAGATTTTCAATGTAAATATGTCTTAGGTGAACAAAATATCATGTGAAAAAAAAAGATATATCTGCTTACAGCAAATAAGAGATGGATATATATCTGTTGTAAAACGCTTGCAAAAAAAACTTCCACTTGATTCGCAGATATTAAAAGATATGACTTGTTTGGGTGCTCAAATGAGATCAGAACCTTGGACTGTTAATGCAATTGGGAGAATAGCAGTTATGATGCCACATGTAATTACGGAAAGGGAGGTGAATATTTAAATAAATTTATATTAAATAACTGTAAAATAATATATATATAAAATATATATATATATATATATATATATATATATATATATATATATATATATATATATATATATATATATATATATATATATATATATATATATATATATATGTATCATAATTTCTGATTTGTAAATTAAACTAATAATAAGTAAATTTTGAAAAATTTAAATAATATAAGTATATATATTGTTAACATAATCTACTATATAATTAAAATAGCAGAGTACGTTAACCAATAAATATATTATTTAACATTTTCAAAGTTTATTAATTATTAGTTTAATTTACAAATTATGATATATATATATATATATATATATATATATATATATATATATATATATATATATATATATATATATATATATATATATATATATATATATATATATATATATATATGTATATGTATATATATATATAGTTTAATTTACAAATCAGAAATTGTTGTTTGTAAATTATTAGTTAACGAACTATTTTAATATAAATAAATTTTCCTTTAATTTTAAATGTTAATACTTTCTCCATAACAATTTTATCTTAATTTTTGTACAGGTATCATTTGTGAAAGATGAATGGAAATTATACCAAGCAGCTAATATATCAAAAGACTGGTATATAGATTCTGATACAAAAAAACTAAAAAGAGTAGACCATTATTGGGCTAAAGTTTTTGAAAGTAACAATGAATATGGAAAAACAAAGTATGGGCATCTCAGTAAAGTTGTTAAGAGCTGTTTAACAATTCAGAATGGAAATGCCAGTGCTGAGCGAAGTTTATCTGATAACAAAAATACATTGACTCCTGGGAGAGTAAATCTAAATGATGAAACATTAATGGCTTTGAGAATATCAAAATAATATGCAAGAAGTTGCAAAGAAGCATATAATGTTGATGCACTCTCCAAAGACATTGTTCAAGCTGTTCAAAATGCTCATAAAATATATATAAAAAGAAAAGCTGAAAAAGACAAAGAAAAGAGAAAAAATTATATTCATGAACTAATGAATAAAGAAAAAGAACAGAAAGAAATGCTTGAAAAAGTTGAAAATAAAAATAAAAATTTAGATCAACAGGAAAAAAGTCTAAAGAATGATGAAAAAAATACAGATTTTGAGTTTCAGCTTGCTCAGAGAATGATCGATGAAGCAGCAAAATCTATGCAAAGTGCCATGGTTAAGGAAGACATGATGGGTATAAAAATTGCCCATGAAATGATAAACAGCGCAAAAAGAAGTCTTGAAAATGCTACATCTCATAGAAATGAACAGAAAACGTTGAGAGAAAATATTGGTTTAAAACGTAAAAGTGAAATAAATAGAATAATTAAGCGTTGCAAAAAATTAAAGTAGTCGTAAAGTTTGAAAGTTTTTGTAAATATAATAGAGCTTGAACTGTTGGTTCAGTTATAATTAGTTAGCAAAATTTATTTATTTATGTTAGTTATTTTAGACTTAAGAAAAACATTTTATTGCATGTTAAACAACAAAAAGATGTTGAGATTTTCATTTTTGATGAAAATTAAAAAAATTAGTGATGGCGGATGATTTTGTTTGTTATTTTCAAAATAAAATTATTGATCTTTTCATTTTTATAATGAAATCAGTCATTTTTTTTCATTTTTTGTCATTTTTATTCTCAAAATACCATCATTTTTTGTCATTTTTTTCGAAAGTTGCTGCTTGACAGCCTGACGATGTTACTTTAGATTCAATAAAAAAGCTATTTTACTTAAGACTTAAACAAACCCTTTTGTTGCAAATACCACGCTAACAGTAAATAATTATTGAAAATTGTTTAAAGTATTTTAAACATTTATTAACTATATTTTAGTAAATTTAATTTTAGTGTTTAAATGTTTAAATACCTTAAACTATTTTTAATCAATATTTACATTGAATAATATATTAAATCACGTAATATTTGTTAACAAAATAGTTTTAGGTCTTGTATTTAAATTAAAAACATAAGCATTTAATAAACAAATTTGTTAAGCATTTAATAAACTATTTGAAAAAATAACATAAGTATTTAATAAACTTATTTACTAATTATTTAATTTTAAAATTTTGATTTAAATATTAGCAAACCTGTTCATTTAACTTTTACTAAAGGTTAATAATTTTAAAAATGATTTTAAGGCGCCTTCTAAATTAAAGATAATTAAAAAAGAGATAATTGGGGTAAACAAAATTTTAAAAATGAAATGTTTTTTTGAATTAAATGCATATTATAAATTAAAAAACATTTAAAAATATATATATATATTATATATAATTAAGTATAATTTAAAAAAATTATGTTTATTTTATTTATATAAATACGTTTATATAAATAAATTACATTTACTGTGTGTTATTTTAAACAGATTTTAATAAAACTTTTATCAAGTTATTGAAATCTTTATTTTTATTATTTTATAAGTCAAAAAGAATATCGAAAAGAAACAAAACGTTCTGAAAAAGTAAATGCTTCGTTTTTTTATTTTCCTCATGTAAATTAAAATAGCAAGCAAAAGTTAATTCATTGAAAAATTAAGCTTGCATGATAGTTACGACAGTTAGTAACTGAAGGCCAATTATGTCACGTAGTTATGTAAAAAAGTTTTTACATTTTCTTTTTATTTCATTTTATTGTCCTAGCAATAAAATGAAATAAAAAGAAAATGTAATAGCACACATGGGAGTTTCCAAGAGTATGGAGTTATGCTCGTGTGCTGGTATTCACATTAACTGAGACGCGGTGAAACAAATTGTCGCTGAATTTGATGAATGTAATTCAATTGATCCTAATGTGGTTTCGTGGGATAAAGGAAATCTTGCTGTCAGTAAAGTGTTGGAAAGAGTAGCCTGTGATGTTACTCTTGTTGATTCGTTAATATATCTCACCTGTATTAATTGTGGTCAAACAGATACACATTGTGGACTCCATTATGTGACGAAAGTGCAGCAATGGTTGTTCAATCATTAGAAAAATATGGTAATTGCTTTGACCTCCTTCCGCAGTTCTCCTAGATAATTCTAAGGCAATTAAATCTCAGATTATGCAAGCTCGAAGTGGGAAAACAGACTTATATATCAAGCTGTTGAAAAACCTTCGGGAAACAGAATTGTCCATTGGGCGTATAGCCATGACTTATGGACTGATAAAAGAATGCATATTTTGCATGCACTGGACACTAGTTTTCTGAAGGCAAGCTCCAAAATTTTTTTTTGGATTTTCATCAAGTCAAAGAAAGGCAAAATGGCCAGTTAATTGCGGATAAGTTAAATAACATCATTTGAGCAAAATCAACTCAGAACAAAGCTAGAATATGTTGTTACCAATTAAGCCTCAAATAAGAAAAAATCTTTTGATGTGCTCAGTGAGAGACAGGCAAATAAGAGTGAAGGAGAATCTGAACATATTGTTATAGTTGATGATAAAGATATGTGGAATGGTCTGCATGAAGAAAACCTAGTCATTGTAGCTTGATAGCTTTGTAAACAAAGCTATCAAGCAACATGCAACTGAAAGGTTAGCATGCTATGCATATTCATTGTAGCTGTGTGTTAATGATGGACTAACTCATCTGAAAACAGCTAACAGTTTATTAGCCAAATGCTCAAAGTTGGCAAATTTAACACATCAAAGCACTCTTTTTTGTGAAGATTTTGAGTTCGGAAAGGATGCTCAAAGAATGTTGTTCCTTTGTCACCAACTATGTTACTGCTTTCATGGAAAAAATAGTTTTATTTGCATCAAGCATATATGGAGAAAATGCTTAATTTTCCATAAAATGAAAATGAAAAGCCATAATCTGCCGAATATTACAATATTATAAACCCTCTGCTAGAGAAGCTTTTTTGTCTTCCAGCTTCTTTTGCACCATTAGAGCGGGTATTCAGCCAGAGGGATTTAATTATGTGACCAAAATGTGCCAGGCTGGTTGATACTATGCTGAAGAATATGGCTACTGGACTACCATGGCTGCTATACGTTCTTAGATTTTTTATTGGTAGTTTTTTTTAGCAATACAAAAAAAGTTGTTTTGAAATAAAAAATTTATCTGTAAATGGTAAAATATTACACCAACTAAGGGCCTAATAGTATACAAACATGTGTGAGCATGAGTCTTGTTGTTTTAGACTTCTTAGAACATAAGTCTTGATCTTGGTCTTGTAAAAACTTTTAAAGTCTTGGTTTTGGGTTAAATTTTTGATATCTTGGTCTTAAAGCATTCAATCTTGGTCTTGGCCTTTACTGTCTTGACGACTTTTCTGCCAAATAAACCTGTCGATATGAAAAAGTCAATGATATTTGTTACAGATATAGTGTATTGTGGTGGATTACTATTTCAAATATTTTAATTCCTTGATTGTTTATTAACACTAACAAAATAGCAACAAAAAATTTTTATTAGTATTATATTAAACTTTAAAAAAATTTAATCTTCTTACTTTAGTTTCATTTTTATTCTTTATTTGATACCTTAAACTTGAAATCGCCAGTTTTAAAATTTTTATTTCCTAATATCTTACTTTTTATATTTCTAAATTGTATGTTTTTATGTGTTTTTTAATTTATGTTATTTTGCTTTTATTTATTTTTTTGTTTATATAAATTTTAAATTTCTTATAGAAAAGGTACAAATGTTAAAATGAATACATATATTTTTTTTATTTTAGAGCCTGAAATCCTTGTCACTTTTTTGTCAAATCACTCTAGTTGCATTCTTAGAAATGATTTTGAAAGTTAAACCTCAGAACCTGGTGTTTAACTTTTTAATCATAAACTAAGAGACAAAACAAATTAGGAACTACAAAGCGTGCGGATTTCAAATTTGAAGACTGCAAAAAACAAGAACAATCAAAAGCTACTTCAAGGTAAGTTGTACATTTTTTATTAATACATATCCACTTCCATGAAAGCTGTAGGCAGACATAATAATACATATTATTTAGAAAGTGAGTATTAGTATTACTAATTTACCTAGCATAAAAGAAAAAGTATGTTATTTATGCTTCATATGAAATAGTAAACAAGCTTAAAGGGTTAATTTTAATAGTGTTCACTTGACATCTGGGTAATGGTAAATCGTCATAACACCATTAATTTATATTTTCAAAATACAAAATGTTTTTAGAATATAATAAAAATTATTTGATTTTTTTGCTATATCTTTTCATAGATTTTTATTTGCTATATCTTTTCATAGTTTCTAGTTTAGTTTTTTTTCTTTCTTTAACGTCTTTACTTTCAACTAGGCTGCAAGCAACCACTTTTAGAGTTGTAAATTTCTGGAAGTGAAAAGATGAAGTTATTAGAGCAAGATAACGATTAACAGACAATTTAAAAGATAGCAAATTATACAAATTAGTAAAACAAGATGAAGGAAACAAATTCCAAATAACTGATGTTCAAGGAAAAAACTAGACTAATAAGATTTTTTGGAGCACTTAGGAACAGTTACTGTAAAAGGATGAGACTTAATTGAATGACCAAAATAAATTTTAGTAGAAGCAGTTTCAACTATGTTTACATAGTTATATATTTACATGTTACAGACTCAGTACTTTTTTTAACTTTCTGAAAACAAAACTCTGTTCTTCAATTGTGCTATTCAAGATTTTCTGCTAGCATCTTTATTAACTAATCATTTAATAATTGACCATAAATCCTCCATTGGACTTGATTCTATAACATTGACAAGATTTTTTTTTAGTACAAAAATGACTTTACTTTTTTAAAGCAATTTTAAACAAATAAAGCAAGATCTGGCCAAAACACACATAGATTGTGCCATTGATGTTCCTTTTTATAAATTTTAATACAATCTTCTCAGTAAGTTTTTTTTATTGATTGATAGTAGGTTTCTTCAGATTTTTATGAGCAT